ACTCATACGGCACTTGGGCAATACGAGGTAAGGTAGCGTTGAGTCGAGGCGCACAGAGTTTGATACCCTACCTTTCTGGGTAAAATTCTGCCTCAAATTGATGCATCCTGATTTTTGTGTAGCATTTCTCCTCGTCAAACCAACATTCCAAGGAACAGCGCTGTTTTTCAGGAATCTTTCGATAAAAGAACAGTAACAATTTTAAAAAATTGAAGTTACTTTTATAGAGTGAGATCACTCATTAGTTACTCGTGATGCACTCTCCATTCAACAACAGTAGGGTACTGGTACCATACGGTACGTAACACCGTACAGTATGAACGATGTAGCCTGCGTGCGGTGGTTGATGATCAGATCTTCGAAAATTTTTCTCGACGCGTTCATTATGATTTCTTCGCGTCCATGACGAACATGCAATTGCATGAACACACCATCAAGTATTATTGCAGTACGAGTACGTACTTGTAGTCGTCTTACTCGTAGCGAAGATTTTTTCCCGCTAATCAAATCAAGTGGCAATGAAAAACCCGGAAGCGGGACTAAGAGATAAGAATTTTACGCGCCCAAATGACATCTATCTACAGAACGAATGGGTCTTAATTTACTGCTGTATCAGACTGTTAATCCCATCGGTATCATTTTTGAAATGATCTACATTATCCGAATTGCACGCACGCACGTTCTGAGACGTATTAAAAATATCGCACTGCATACAGTATAGCATAAAGTACATATCTACGTTGTTGCGCCTGGTCATGAAGAAAAAGGTTTGCTTAATTACAGAACGGTACCGTACGTACGAGTACTGTGTCAACACCTATGATACGATACGAGATCTTTTACATCAACGGTTGTAAGGTACCTGGTATGCGAGTACGGAAGTGTGCGCTAGGGAGAATTCATAATTTTTCCTTTCTCCACCGTATGTGTACAAGTATCTTACGTTACAATGGGTGATTCCCGATAACATATATCTGTGTATTTTCTGGCACGGCCGGCTCGCATTATGACCCAAAATACATAAATTTTGGTTGTCGTGGGCCCTCGACAACCAAAAAATATGTAATTTACATATTTTTTAATTGGAATCCTTGACTTAACCATTTTTCAGTCTCGGGAGCAGGCGCGCCCTA